GCAGCCTACATACGGCGGTTTAAACTCGACCTATGTAAACAACTGGAGCATGTGGTGAACTTAACTCTGTCGTGGTAACAGCGGCTCCCTTTTTACACATTTCCCTCCCCATTTTTTTGCCTTAGACGTTTTTTCCCCACAGCGTTTTAACTTTTTTTACTTTATTGATTGCCTCTTAACCCTTTCGTATGACCTTACTGTTTGTATCGATTTTTCTGTATGAATTCAATTTTGCATTTTCTCTGACGTTATTCACGTTACGCAACGAGAGGAAGCAACTGATGAGCACTCTCGAAAGTAATTGATCCAATTAATTTTGCTGTCTACACAATCTTCAAAATTGCACCGGGGAAAAGATGCATTATGCCTTCGTTCAGTCAATCAAAGCACCCATCTGGAAGTAGAAACACAGCGTGCGGGAGGCATAGAAGGCAGATGTCCGCTAGAGAGACCAGAAACACTTCCTCGGACCGAAGTTCATAACTGCTATTTGCTACTTGGCATTCTTGTCAGTGCGCGTCGGGTAGCAATTCCCACACAGAAATGGACGAGCGCACACCGATTCATTAGCCTTCCGCAGCAAAAAGACCCAAATGGGCGGCAGAAGTTATGGACAGGCAAACACCTACAGGGCCGAATTTGGCCAACCTATGAAAACAGGGATTTTTTGGACCGGCTGCTCTGTCGGTATCGCTTGATGGATGTCTATAATCAGGCTCTAATTACCCCCTTGGGTTGAGAGCAGGATCGCAAGCAGGACTTGTTAAGACACGGGAATAGGAATCCCTGGTAATATAGGTTGTTTTGCGCTGAATTCCCGGGAGGTGGGGAAGAGTCTAGTGTTGGAGTAACAACACAGAAATATGTAGTCTTTGAATTTAGCGGAGATTCATCTGTATTCTCCAGGAGCTCCTATTACCATGTCTAAGCCCGCCCCGCAGTCAAATCGTCGTATTGCAGGGTACCAAGTTAGAGACCAAAAACAAGAGATGTTAAAGTGAGGTGCCATGCCCGGCAGTATGCGTGGAAAACGCAAAAGGGAGTGGTCACAGTCCCCAAAGGTAATACAATATTGCTTAATGTAGCTCAGGGACAGGGCTAAACTTTACAAATGTTCAAAAATAACACTTTTTCCCAT